TTTTTTTTTTTTTTTTTTTTTTTTTTTTTTTTTCGGCTGCTCCCTTTTTCAGGGGTCACCACAGCGAACTAACTTGCAGGAAGACTTGGTAAATGTTTTTACGCCAGATGTACTTCCTGACACAACCACAGGCCACTGAGCTACCACAGCCCTCTTTGTGGAGAAGAGAGCTGCTACCAAGGGCACCCAGGGCAGCAGAGCGTGGGGGTTAAAGGCCTTGCTCAAGGGCCCAGAATGGGACAAATGAGGGTGGAGACAGGTGTGGGTGTAACACCTCTCTCACCCACATTTTTTAAAATATTGTCGGTCCAGGGAGTTGAACTGGTGACCATCCGATCACAGGCCCACCTTCCCAAACCTCTATAATCTTTTACTCGCTTCTTCCATTTCAGGTCACGGGGGTCACTGGTGTCCATATCCAGCAGTCACTGTGTGAGAGTCAGGGGACACCCTGGACAGGTCTCCAGTCCATCACAAGGACACATAGAGACAAACGAGACAAACAACCATTCACTCTCTCACTCACACCTAGGGACAATTTAGAGTTACCAATCAGTCTAACATGCATGTTTTTATGTCTGTGGGAGGAAACTGGAGTACCTGGAGAAAACCCACTCATGCACAGAGAGAACATGCAAACTCCTCCTAGAAAGGCTCTGAACCGGCAACCTTCTCAATGAAAATTGCTAACTAAAACCTGAAAATAACAAAAGAGAAGCTAAAATTAGCAAGGAGTTAGCCTGGATAATGGGCATCAATGTTTCTATAGATCCGTCATCCAGTTTGAAGCATTTGTTTATCATTTTTGTTCAAGCAGAGCACCAATGTCTTTCTGAAACAAACATTCCACGAAAAATCAATGTAAAGTTTTGTCTCTGGCTGTTATTCAGATGAATGAAATGTTCATGTAATTCCTGATGCGTCAATGTGACGGAGTGAAAATGAAAAGCCCCACCTGTAATCTTTGTACTGGGTCAGATTTCCTCCGTTGAAGTAGCTCGGCGCCGCCTCATTGTTCATCATGCTGAGAATCCTACAGGTCACGACAGAGGAAAGCTTCATAGAACAGTCATGAAAAGATAAATCGTCCTCAGCTGCTTACTGAAGTAACAGAACAGCTTACTTGATGTTGGGGAACTTTTTCCTGGTCTCCTCCACAAACACAGGCAAGTTGTTGACCTTGTTCTTGTTGATGCACACAGCCGTGATGCTCGGCATGTAGGGGAACTTCACGTGAGACGTGTAGTTGTTGCAGTCCAGAATCAGAGTGCTGAGCTTCTCCAGACACCCCAACAGAGCCGGGTTTCAAAAAGGACTGAATGAAGGAGAACACACTCACTCCAGATGGTTTACTCAAGATACAGGACTGTTCTGATTGCATTTTTTAAAGAATTGGTTTTAAAAATTAACTTTTTTCCAATCCTTTGTGTTTTAACTGTATTAGGCCACTGGAAATTAGTTTTTTGTACCCATTGCTGATTGAAGAAAGAACTGGAAATACCCTCCGTACTTCCATCACCCTTGTGAGCATAGCTTGAGAAATGAGCAAGGTAACAACTTCAGTGTTGGTGTGTGGCTGCATCTAAACATAAGAACGATTACCATCAAAAATAAGTTTGCCATGTCAAAACTCAAGATGGCCACCACCATAAACATATGTAAACTGCTCACCCCTATCATTTGAGGAAACTTCATGCTCAATAATCCAGGTAGAATAATCCATCAAAGTTAAATCAGGTCCTCTGGACATTTTTTTGTTGTCATTGTTGAAATGTTTTGTCTTTCATCCAAAAGACTTCATCAGTCTGAGGAGCAGCAACAAACTCAGTCTTATAAATAGACTGAATTTGTCTGTATACACTGTGTAGTCTTTTGGATGAGAAACGAAACGTTTCAACAAAAAAGAAACCGTCCAGAAGACCTGACTTAACTTGTTGGATTTTTCTACCTGGATTACCGAGCATGAATCAGGATGTTTTGAACCACTTTGGCCATGACAGATAGATGCTTTATTAATCCCCAGTGGGGAAATTTGAGGCATTCAGTAGCAGGTTCTAATTATACAGAAAAAAGATGTGAAATTATTAAAAAGATGCACAACGCAAATTTGGATTTGTTTGTTTGACTGCCTCAAACAAGTTATGTGTGGGGGAGAGGGCGGACTCCAGAAACCATCTGTGCACCATCAAACTGGTTGACCCACTATCTGAAGGTGCTATTTATAAATCTGAGTTTGTTGTGGCTCCTCGGGCTGATGAATTCTTTTGGATGAAAGACGAAACGTTTCAACAAAAAAAAAAAAAAAAAGTCCCGAGGACCTGACTTAACTTTGTTGGATATATGATTTCTAGTTTTTATATTGATTAAAAGTATAGTTTCGTCAAATAATTGTGATGGCCAAAGATTAATCTATGGTGGTCAAGGCCACCATTGTTCTTGTCATCAAAGCCAAAACCCTAAAACACACGTTCTGTTTTACAGCTACTGGTTTTAGCTTCACTTCAAAGAGTAAAGGATACTCAGAGAGCAGGTTGTAGCTCAGGTCCAGAACCTCCAGCGTGTCCATCTGTTTGAAGATGGCGTCATATGGAATCTCTGTAAGGCCCTGATAAGCAAACGAAAGCCACTGAAACTTGGAGGCTTGACTGTGCTGACCCGTGGTCTGATGATCCATGACCCAAAGCCCAGATTTGGATGGCTTGCTGCTCCTCCAGAGGAACGACAGAGGACAGTTATGTCATGACCAGAACCTGAACCAGAGTCAGATTAGTTCACGGTTAGCAGACATCCGATAGATGAGGAACAACTCAAACTGACAAACTAGAGACATCACTCTTCTGTTAAGACAGAGAGAACACCGAATGACTCTGCTAAAGATGATGATGGAGCTAAGGTGTTTAAGTTAAAAGAAGCAGAACACTAGCTAAAAGATAAAAAAAAACCAATATGCTAGCTTTTGTTCTTTCGGTTGCTTCCTCCTCATGAGGTCACCACAGTGAACAAATCTAAGGTTCTTCCTAACTCAACCTGGAACCTCAGGACTACAGGACCACTGAACCACCAAGGCCCCTAGGCAAAATGCTAGCTTAAACCCTAAAATACTAAATGCCAGCTTAAAGATAAAATAAGTCAAAGGCTAACTAAAAAAAAGTAAAACGCTAGCTAAACCCCCAAAATGCAAAAATTATAGCTAAAAGTTAAAATTAGTTCAATGAAAGCTAAAAGCTAAAAATGTGCAATTCTACCTAAAAGTTCAAAATGCTAGCAAAAGCCCCATGATACCAAAAAGCTAGCTTAAAGCTACAAGTAGCACAATGCTGGCTAAAAGTAAAACTATTGTTGCTAAAATCCTAAAATACCACATTGCTTACCAAAAGCTATAAGTAAGAAAATGCTAGCTAAAAGCTAAAAGAAGAGAAATGCTATCTATAAACATCAAAGTCCATGCTCAATAATCCAGGTAAAATATCCAACCAAGTTAAATTAGGTCCTCTGGACGTTTTTTTTTTTTTTTTACTTAACTTTGTTGGATTTTTTTTTACCTGGATTAATGAGCATGAACTTTGATGTTTTAAACCACTTTGGCTATGGCTGCCTCAGAGAAGTCGACAGGGGAGAGGGCGGACTCCAGAAACCATTTTATCACCATCAAACTAGTTGACCCACTATGTGAGTGTGCTGCTTGTGGGACTGAGTTTATTGTGGCTCCTCAGACTGAAGAAGTCCTTTGGATGAAGGACGAAACATCTCAACAAAAAAAAAGATGACCCCACTTAACTTTGTTGGGCTATATATAAACCCCCCAAAACCACATTCAAGGATTCAAGGATTCCAGGTTCTTTATGTCATTTGCACCCCTTGGTGCATGTGGTGGAACAAAATTATGTACACAGGGTCCCAGTTACATCCAACACTAAAATGTAAAAGAAAAACAGTAATAACATCTAAAATATGAACTAAGAAAAACATCAACTAAGCACTAGTAGTATAAAAACATTACGCTGAACAGCAGAACGAACATGAGTCTAACAGCCTCAGGGTAGAAGCTGTTCCTCAGTCTAGTGGTTCTACACTTAATGCTCCTCAACCTCCTTCCTGAGGGGAGCGGGGCAAAAAGTGTGTGTGCTGGGTGAGTGGGGTCCTTCATGATGCAGGTGGCCCTCTTTCTGCATTTGGAGGTGTAGATGTCTGTGATGGTGGGGAGACTGACTCCAACAGACTTCTGTGCAGCCTTCACCACTCTCTGCAAAGCTTTTATTTCTGCAGCTGTGCAGCCTCCATGCCACTAGGGAAACTCTCAAAATGCTAGTTACTGTAAATGGTAAATTAAGCAAAATGTGAGGCAAAATTCCAAAATGCTAATTAAAAGCTAAAAATGTCTAAAAAAGCTAAAAGTAGCAAAGAGTAAGATAAATATAGCAAAAGGCTAGCTAACAGCTAAGCTTAAAGATATAATGTATTCCTATGTGGAACATGCCAATTACTATAGTTAAATATCTTGAAAAATACAAACAAAACAAAACTTTAAAGTCATAGCACACCCATCCTGAATGAGCTAAATGTTTGGGATAAATGAGTAAAATAGTACAAACTATACAGAAGTAGGGCAGCACGGTGGCACAACTGGTAGAGCTGCTGCCTCTCAGTGCGAAGGTCCCTGGTTCAAATCCCGGTCCAGGGGCCTTTCTGGGTGGAGTTTGCATGTTCTCTCCATGCATGCGTGGGTTTTCTCCGGGTACTCCGGTTTCCTCCCACAGACCAAAAACATGCACGTTTTAGGCTGATTGGTAACTCTAAATTGTCCTTAGGTGTGAGTGAGAGAGTGAATGGTTGTTTGTCTCTATGTGTCCCTGTGATGGACTTGCGACCCATCCAGGGTGTACCCCGCCCCTCGCACAATGATTGCCGAACATGGGCACCCGCAACCCCCGTGACCCAAAATGGAATAAGCGGGTAAAAGATAATGGATGGATGGATATACTGTACAGAAGTACTCTGGTAAGTACAAAGATAGCCTATATAAAAATTAAAATCAGCATTAAAATCAGCAATAAAATCAGCATTAATCAGCTGAAGAACTAGATCAAATACCAGAACAAATGACTTGTTATAATGTAGTGGTCCATTTTGGTCTTGGCTGTATTTTGACTCGCTTTTAGCCTGTCAATCCTGTGATACAACTCTATTTCTCCAACCTGAGAGTATTCAGAGAGCTAGCTATAAATACTAAGACATTAAATTGTTCATAACGTTTACACAGAATCCCACTTTAAATGTCTGAAATATGCCTTTAAAATGACTGGCTCCACATCTTCAACCAAAAAATATTATTAATTTATTAATATAATAATAGTAATTAGTATTATAAATATTAAATCAGGGAATTTGGGGAGCTTGTTCCTAAAGTCAAAAACAAAACAAGGTCCACTGCATTCTGATACTCCAGAAAAATGATTTGTTCGTAGCATTCCTAGAAGAAATGCAAGTCCCCTGCCACCTCCGGCCAGAGATTTAGACTAAAGTCATTGAACCATGAGTTAAAATCGGAATTTATTAAATGTTTGTTTTAGTGGGACTTACTGAGCTGAAGAGGAGCTGGTGAGTCTCTTCCCTGAACCCGATCGTGAGAGAACTGAACCAACTCTGATAAAGAGTCTCTTTCAGACCCTGCTGAGTGGTCACATGACGGGATAATCTCATCGCTGCTGGACCTTGTGCGTCAAACCCACCGACTCTGAACTGAATCAGGTTCTATTGAATCTTAAAAACTGAAACAACAACAACAACAACTCTAAACCAATTACACAATGTTCTGTAGAGTAGAAGATCTCATGGTTTCCTGCAGACAGAACAGTCCATTGAAAATCTGACAAAAGTTAATTTAATTCAATTTCCATACAATATATACATACATACACACACATATATATATATATATATATATATATATGTGTGTGTA